ATCTGGCAGTGCTACCACTGAGCTATAAAAGTAATAGATATATAAATAAAATATATAAAACCCTCTCTTAAATGGAAAATATTTATGTACATATATCAATTATAAGACCTAATAGATAACTAATTAGAAATAGCAAGTTTTCAAAATACTATCTCAAAACTATTTCAAATAAATACAGTAATAATTCTTTGGCCAACATGGTCAAAATAAACCAACAAAATGTATGATATGTAGGCAAACTCTCTATGACAATCCTATGGTTCCAATTTCATGTTTAAAAATAATTCCCTCCCAGAGTCCCTACATGCCCATTCAAAACACCCTAGACTATGACAACTAAATATTTAAAATATGGGACCAAATCATTTACCTTAGAGACAATTTTTATTCGACACTCTAAAATTTAGAGGGTGATTGGGGGAAAATAGAACAGAAAGAACCCTAGATGCCACGAGTACAACATGGTAACTATGCAAATCCTCCTAGAAGAGTCTAGGTTCTTCTGGATTATCTGTATGGGAGGCTCCTCTCTCCCCTCCTAATGCCTGCCAGTGTCTCCATAGATGTCTTGCTCAAAATGTGTCTCTGCCAGTGCTCTGGAAGGAAGAAGAGAGGTTGTTGTACTTCATGGACACAGTTCTCTAGATGTAAAGATGAGTTACACCCTGAGTCAGTCCTAACTAGGGCTTTAGACCAACCTACAAACCCAGCCTTTTCTGATCCTTTATTCTTGACACCAGTACTGAATCATCATTTTCAGTTTTGATCCCCAGACTTTACTAACCCTGACTTCAAAAATTATTTCCTATGCCCAGGGTCAGGCCCAGAGGTCTGCTGTATAACAAGGACTTGAGCTGATAATGCAGCTAGAGCAAAGCACACTTGGAGAATGGGGCCTTAAACTTAACTCACACCATGGTCTTTGCCACTTATTTCACATCTGTTCTAACTGTGTAACAAACATCACTAACATATCAACATCAGGAACCAGGAGACCAGGTGTCTGATCCCTGACCTATCCCCTAGTTTGTCCCTACAATGCCTGCTCCTAACTTGGCTGCTTCCACTTGTTTGCAATAAAACCTTTGCTTCATCCTCTGCCCAAGTCCAAAGTCAACTGTATGCTGTGTAAGAAGCTGCCCTGAAGCTAGTATATTCTTAACCCCCTGTGATTCTAAAAAACTTGCTTGACCATGAACTTGACAGGGAAAAATATGATTGTATAAGAGAAGAGCTTCATCCAGAAGTAGTAAATTAGAGGGAAGCAAATATTCAGAAATGAGTTCTGGCCATAAGCCATTTTATTGAGAGCAAACTGGGACGAAAATAGAGTTAATGAGAATTATTTTCATTGTGGAATATGTGAATAGTTTCATGGAATATCCTATTGTGTCACATTCACATTGTTATAAATAAATCTCCATACTTGGTATCCTTAGGGAAGAATGGCTCAAATGAAGAGGAAAGGGTAAAAGGGCAGTTAATTTATAGGGGAGAGGGAAATTCATGGCTAAGGGAGAGGAGAAAAACCTTCCTGACAAGGGATACAGAGCTTACCTGGAAACTGACTTTTAATGTGCATCCTCTGAACAAACTGTCCCATTCACAAAAACTCACACCAGCACTATAACTGCATCCTTTACTATCATTACTATCATCACCTCTAGAGCAAAATGGTGATGGTCCCCATCACATACTGTACCATCAGCAGGAAGCAGGGGCTCTATGGAGAGCACTTAATGCAGGTCCAGTAGACCTCCTGCTACCCAGACTCGGGAGGGGGTAGGCTGAGTGGGGCTCATACCTGTCTTTGCACAGACAAGCTGGGGTCACTCTCAGTAGAGCACCATGCACAAAACAAGAACTGGAACCTCAGCATGTCAAGCCACCTGTAGTCATTATTCCCATGTAAAAATAAATTTGGATAAGACATCACCACCATTTCATGGTGAACCAGGATGACTTCTAATTAAAGGAGGGTGCCTGAGCTAGAGTGCAGGACTCGGCCAAGTCCTCCTGTGTTAGAAACAAAGGCCTTGCCTTGTCTGACTCCCCTTACGAAGCACTGTTTCATAGTTAATTTCACTTCTTGAAGAAAGATTATCAGGTAATTAATGGTTTTCTTTTTTAATATTTTTTAGTTATACTTGGACACAGTATCTTTATTTTGTTTATTTATTTTATGTGATGCTGAGGATCGAACCCAGGGTCTCACATGTAAGAGGAGCATGCTCTATCGCTGAGCCATAACCCCAGCCCCTAATTAATGGTTTTCATTGAGGGGTGTATGTGTGTTTCTTTCTTTTTTTGTAATGTTGAGGATTGAACACAAGGCCTTGTCCCATGCTAAGCAAGTGCTCTACCACTGATCTACACTCCCAGTCCATGTGTGTGTGAAGTGATGACTACAAAAACTCACAGGCACCAATCTATTCCTGTCCAGTTCATTCAGAGAGTTTGAATCAAGTTTCCTACTGCCTCATACTCTGGCCAAGAGAGCAGGTAGAGAAATAGTTTGATAGAAACCACAGTGCCTTATGGGAACTCTAAATAAGAAAAGCATGAGTTTTAGGGTCATACTTGTGTAAATGTACTTGCTGCTCCCCGGACAAGGAATCTAATATCAGCCTGGTTCCCCTGATTCATGGAAAAATTCTGCCTTAGGATTTCTGTAAGGTTTAAAGGGGCCCTTGTTGGTAAAGCTCACAAAACCAAGTTTGGCATACATTAGTCACCTCCAAGGCCCCATATTCTCATTAGAGACAGCACCCCTGAAAGCTGGTTAATACCTGATCCTGGCAGGAACCCCTCCTGTCCATTTGATGACATTGGTCAGTTCTGCTCAGAATCCTGGTTAGAGAGTAGATGAGGAGAAAGTGCCTTCCCAAATGGCCACTGAGGTTCAATGGTGATAGAATTGGGGCTTCAAAAAGAGTTTTTCTGTTATTTTTCCCACTACTAGTCAGAGGTAGAATTTTCCCTGAACTCTACCTGGGATGGGTTCCCCAACCTGTCTGAGGTAACCCTTTTATAGTATGGCCTATATTTTTTCTTCTTCAAGTATTGGGGATTGAACCCCTACTTTATCACTGATGTAAAAAAAATCCTTGATTTTTTTTAAGTTTTACTTTGGAGACAGGGTCTTGCTGAGTTGCTGAGGCTGGCCTCAAACTTCAGCTCCTACTGGTTCAGCCTCCCTAGTCACTGGTATTATAGGTGTGCACTACCTTGCCCAGTTAATCTTGCTGTAGGTTCTTTACATGTTTTTCCTGCAGGGTTAAATAATGCCTGTTTTTATACTTGCAATTTAAGAGCAAGTTGCAACATAACACTGATCCTTTTAAATAACTAGGAAAATCCTAATTTTTAAAATATAATACTGTTAGCTTTTCACTGCTGTTACCCAAATCCCTGACAAGCACAATTTAGAAGTGGAAGCTTCATTTGAGGTTCCTGATTTCAGAGGTCTTAACCCTTGATCTCCCAGGCCCATTACTCTGGGCCCAAGTGAGGCACCATGGCAGTAGGGCCTGGTGCTCAGAACGTGGCATCCAGGAAGCAAAGAGAATAGGCTAAGGCATTAGGGACAAAATATCAAACCCAAAGGCAAGTGACCCCAGTGACCTATTTTCTCTAGCCACACCTCATCTGCCTACACTTAACACACAGTACAGTAGTCCTTTCAAATTATTAATCCATCAAGTTAGTTAATCCACTGATTAAACAGCAGCACTGCTTAGATTGCAGTTCTCACAGTCCAATCATTTCACCTGTAAACATTACTACTTGATCTCATGAGCTTTGGGGGACACCTCATATTCAGCCTATAACAAATATTAAAATACGGCGCTCCAAGTCTCTGTTCTAATTTCACCTCAAGTGCTTAAAGGATACAAGTTTTTAGTCAGCCCCAACACTACACTTGACTCTGTTGCAAAACAGAATGAAAAGATAAAACCTATTTACTCACTTAATAAGGTTTCTAGCATAATATGGGTTTGTCATAAGGAAATTCGTGTATCCTAAAACTAATAATGTGATTTATTTACTTTATGGTCTGAGACCTGAAAATCTCAGGACTTTAAAGAATTCTCAGAAAACTCTTCAAATTCCTGGAAAATCACCTGATCAAAACAGTAGACAACAGTGGCAAATACCAAATGCAAAGATATTAATTTTACCTGAATAAAATAAATCATTTTACTTGAAACAAAGAAAATCAGGTCATAGATGGAGAAATACAAGAAGGTATGAATCAATTTGGAAAAACCAAAGATTCAAGATAAGTTTTTCGCCACTAATATGAAGAATAATGAAATACCAAGTCTCTTAGACTGCTTCCTGTAACTTGCAAATATCGAAGCTAACCTAAAAGAACAAGCAAAGAAGGATATCAATGCTATTTTGCCAAAAGTCATGCCAAGACAAATATCATAAGATGTTATCCCTTGTTAAAGATGCGGGGTGGGCGGGGGGAGGCCTGGGGTTGTGGCTCAGTGGTAGAGCACTGGCTTAGCGTGAGGCACTGGGTTCAATCCTCAGCATCACATAAAGACAACATGTTGTGTCCACCTAAAACTTAAAAATAATGCCTGGGCTGGGATTGTGGCTCAGTGGTAGAGCACTGTGAGGCACTGGATTCGATCTTCAGCACCACATAAACATAAATAAAGTTAAGGTTGGTTTTTTATTTGTTATTGTTTGTTTTTAAAGCTGTCTGGTGTGTCCTTAAGTGCTGGGCAATGTCTGTATGTACAAAACATATTCCTCATGAAAAAAAAAAAAAAGAGGCATGGAGATGCTTTTCCTTTTTTACAACCATACTATGATCTGGATAGTTCATTTTGGAAATAAAAGATTTCAATTTCTTTCTCAATGAAAAAGATGTAAACTCGGTGACCAAATGACTGGGTTAGGGAGCGGGTCAGAAACAGGGAGGGTTGCGCGGGGCGGGCAACATGGGTCAGTGCGCGTGCGCGAGCCTGGCCTAAGCGGCCTAAGCGAGCATGCGCAGTGCCCCGTCCTGGGCGCCGGTGCGGAGTTGGGCATAAATGTGGAATCCAAAGGGGTTGAGGGAGGTGTGGCGTCGTCTGAGGCGGTTCCTGGCTTGCTGCTCTTTGGCCGTCGCTTGCCCGCTATGACTTGCTCTTCCCCGCGTTCTCCAAACTGTTCCTGCGAGTCCTGTCCTGGGCGGTGACGAGAAACAGGGAGGCGAGCCGTCACCTGAATCTCTGACGAGAGTCGCAAGCCTGCCGGGTACTGTCACGGCGATGGCCTTTTGCCTGGTCCCCACCATGGAGGAGCAGGTAGGTGCAGTTGCTGTCCCCGTTTTACAGATGTCAGGCCGAGGCCGGGAGAGGGGAGACTGTATCCGTGTCCGGGGTCACTTCTGCGGCCCAGAAGTCAGCGCTGCAGGGCAGGAGCACGGGCTGCCGCGCGGAGGACTGGTGGGGCGGGGCCGTTGTTGCCAACCGAAAATCACAGCCTCGAACTTTGCGGAGCCAGGTGCACTTGCGTGGTTCCCACTCTGCGAGGGAGAGCAGAGCTCCTGCCCTGCAAGAGGGAAGTAGGAAATAATGCCCTTCGTTGCCCTTCTTGAGCTGGGGGTGGCAGAATTTCTCGAGAAGCAGAAAGGCTCCGCATACGTGTGTTGTTCCGGAGTGTGGAACCAGTGGGGAGCGCCACAGGTGCCTGAAGTCTGCTGGCAAAGGGTGTGGGCAAGGAATAATATCATGGTTCTAAAAAAGTAGATTCTGAAGGGGAAAGGGATTTCAAACAAGAAATGTGATCTGCTTTCCAGGAACTTTCTAGTTTTCAGGGTCAGGTATTTTGGAGATCATTTCCCTATTATGTGTAGACATGGAAACCTGATAGCACAAAACCGATGAAAAACACAAGCACTCAGCCAATGAGCTAAATTCCCAGCCCCCCAGTTTTACTTCTTAAAGGCTGTGGGCTTGAATCTTTAATAGGGCAATCTTGCCAAGTGGTGCACTGCCTTCTGCTAAAATACCTGTAGGGGTGGGTCAGGGTCATTATGACTTCGTGTTGTTTGGTGCTTTCATTGTTCTGCAGTGATTACAAAATGGTAGTTTCAAGGCCACAGGACTTCTCCTTTTGAGTTTTATCAATGCTCACCATGAACATGTTTGCATCTCTGTTCAGTTCTTTCCCTCTTGGTTCAGTTTCATTGTGTGTTGATCTTGTAAATTCACAGATGTACAAATTCTCTTGTTCGAAATTTAGCAAACATGTAGTTTGTTGGTTTACCAGTTGCATATTGTGAGCAGTTTTTTAGCAGCTGACTTTTATTTGTTTGCTTATGTCTTGAGATGCATTTAAATGGAATATAGCAAACATAGAATAAGAACAATAACGTGAGTAAGCATGAAAAGTGAAAAAAGAAAGCCATACTCTTTAGTTGAATTGGTGTATCTTTATATTGATGAAAATTATTATTCACATCATGCTTACCTTGTTTTGCAAAATATTAACTCCCTTTACTTTTTGGTATCATGTTTTACAGAGCAGTTTCTTAGGTTCCATTTCTGACCCTCCCTGTTTCTGGACAGGTGGATTGGCATTTTGATTTTATTTGTCATGCACAAAGGGAAGTTAGACTGTGCTGTTGGAGTTCTCACGGTCCTGCTATCAATTGTTATAGGTGCTGTGTGGGCCATCATGTGTGACAACATGAAAGGTAAAGAGTAGCCTTTTCTGTTTGACACCTATTCCTTTTTATTTAATAGCCTTATTGAGATGTAATTTCCATACTATGCAACTCACCCATTTAAAGAATACAATTCAGGGGCTTTCAGTACATGTCAGAGTTGTGCAGCTATCACCACAGTCAACTTCAGAACATTTTCATCATCTCCAAAAGAAATCCTCTCTTCACTAGTTAGCAGTTATTCCTCATTTCCACCCCCAGTTCACCCAGCCCTAGGCATACACTCATCTGCATTCTATCTCCATCAATTTGCCTATTCTGGACATCATAGAGTGGAATTATTGACTTTGTGGCCTTTTGTTCTGGCTTCTTAGCTTAATGTTTTCAAGGTTCATCCATGTTATTCATGCTCAGTATCTCCTTCCTCTTTATGGCTGATTAAGGTTACATTGAAGGGATTGACCTTTTACTCATCAGTTGGTAAACATTTGGGTTGTTTCCCTTTCTGAACTGTTACCAGTAATGCTGCTATGAACATTTGCATGCAGGTTTTTTTCATAGATATTTGTTTTCATTTCTCCCACCTATGTACCTAGGAGTGCAGTTGCTGGGTCATGTGATAACTCTGTTTCACATTTTTGAGTAACTGCCACACTGTGAGCAGCTACACCTTTATCAGACTTTCTGATTATAGGTATCCTAGTGAACAGGAAATGGTATCACATGATTTTGATTTGCATTTCTTTGATGACTAATGGTGTTGACCATCCTTTTATGTGCTTTCTGTTATTTGGCCATTTTTTATATCAGTTTTGGAGAATTGTCTACTAACATAACAGTATAAACAAGTTTATTCAGCCTTTTATTCATGAGTTAGTTATACTTATTTTGCTCACCCCCCTTTTTTTCATTTTTGATGTGGGGATTGAACTCATTGCCTTACACAGGCTAACCAGAGTCCACTCCAGTCCTTCCACCTAATCTCAATGATAATTTTTCCTGTATATTCGAGATTTCCACAATATTTTTTTTGAAAATACCTCTGGAAATATTGGAATCTTCCCTTCTTTTATTGCTGTGGTTCACAGTGAGCTGAGCATTCTGTAGCTAATAAAAAAGTGCATGGGGGGAGGGGCTGGGGTTGTGGCTCAGCGGTAGAGCTCTCACCTAGCTCGTTCGATCCTCAGCACCACATAAAAATAAATAAAGATATTGTATCTAACTACAACTAAAAAATAAATATTTATTTTAAAAAGTGCATGGGAAATTTAAAAAGTTTGAGCAGGCAGAAGGGCTGTGTGACATGTCATCCTCCAAAAGGTGTCAGGATATAGGCACATGCATATCAAATTGTGGGTGGCCAACTGGAAGGGTACTGATACAATGGGTGATAGAATTCAGGTCCTAACAGTTTGGGGTAATGGGCTGAAACATGATGCCTACCCCATCACACCCCTGGTCAGAGCCCAGGAGTCCTCTGCAGGTCATATTGGTGTCATGGGTTGCCTGTCCCACAGCCTTTTCCAAACCAAGCCCTGCTTTGTTTAGTCCATCCCCAGCCCTTAATGCCAAGGGTGTCAAAAGAAGCTGACGTGAGCCCAGCTCAGATGGTCCCCACATATGGGTGATTGGTTTAGGAGTGGATGTGGGACCCAGAGTGGGCCACTGACAGTCAGGAGCATTTGCTGGAAATTTCTGGGGAAGTGCTTCCTTGCTGCTGTAGGAGAGATCAGCATGGGCTGTTTTGGGTGGTGTTGCTTCTTCACTCAAACACAGAGGAGGCAGCCCCATGAGAAGCCTGATGCCCATCCACCTCTCACAGCCAGTCTCCTGTACAGCTCCTTCCTGCCTTTAAACCAGGTTGAGTTGGATTTTCTATTATTTGTGGCTAGAGGTATCCCAACTAAACTTAAAACAATGTTTTATAAAAAATGTCAGCTTAATTACTAATTTGTTACAAATAATGAGTATTAAATGTCTCAGTAAAATTATTATTTATATTTCCATGAAGAATACCATAAAAAAGGTAAAAAGCAAACAAGAAAACCCAATAGGATAAAGCATTTGTAACATGAGAAACAAAGAAGCAGTCTTCTTAGTATAGAAGGGCTTTAGCAATGTCTAGGAATTGAACCCCCAGGCAAACAACATGAGCAGTAGAGAAAGCAAATTCAACTGTATAAAATGTTCAACCTCAATCACAAAATAAAATCTCTTAGTACATTGCCCGATGAGGCTGGATAGAATAGGCAGCTTTTTTCCTCCCAGTTCCAAGAATGGAATCCAGGTCTTCAGCATGCCAGACAAGTACTCTGCCTTGAGCCACATCTCCAGCCCTCAGGCAGCTCATTTTGTTGGTGAGAAAATAAATTAGCCTGTGGGAGGCTAATATGGTAATGAGATTGTGTGAATCCTTACCCTTTTTTTTCCCTCTATATTTGACTTGTGCAAAGCAGCACTTGTGGGGATCTTCATTATGGTACTGTTCCTAGAAATAAAACACCAGAGAACACTATGTGTATCTAAAAGGTCATTGGATAGGTGAACTGTACTTTGTCCATGTCATGGTTTACTGTGCACCTTTCTATGAGAAAGTGATTTCTGGATTTGGATTTATGGTAGGCCTATCCCCCTATACCTCTAATAGTGTCCATTCCAGAGCAAGCTGGCCCAGAACTACTTTTCACCTCTGCCCTTAGACTGATGGCACTGAGCTAGGTAAAAAAATAAATAGAGAAAATAAGGAATTGGGGCTGTGGCTCAGCAGTAAAGTGCTCACCTAGCCTGTGTGAGGCACTAAGTTCAATCCACAACACCACGTAAAAATAAATAAATAAAGGCATTGTGTCAAACTACAACTAAATTTTTTTAAATAGAGAAAATAAGTTATGAAATTAAAGGGGGATTTCCTATATACTAAGGTCCAGGATATTGTATGTTATTTATGGTTGTTTTCCATAGAATATAATATGTATTGTTTATGTACAGACTCTCCCTGAAGGAGACACAGCTACTGGCTTATTTCCAGGGAAGGGAACTGAAGACTAAGGGTTCAATGGTGGGCTTAAAATTTACTTTGTTATTATTATCATAATTACCACTATTTTGTATACTAGGGATAGAACCCAGGGCATTATGCTGCTAGGCAGGTGTTCTACCACTGAGCTACATACGCCTCAGCCCTAAAATTGGGTTTTTACCTACTTGACCTATTTGAACTTTTTACCCTTTGTTTGCATTACCTGCACTGAATCAGCAAGGTTTCCCTTCTACAAATTTTAGTTTCAAGTCTACTTTTTAAATAATTAACACATTGGTAAATTTTATTCTTGGTATGTGTATAACTTCCATTACCCTTCAATAATCTATCGCTTGAGCATGAAGTCAATGTATTTAGCTTTGGGCTGATATTTCTCTTTAAAAGAAATATCACACATTGTAGAGGGAGCATTTGGAACAAATATAATTCAGTCATCTGTATTCAAAGGACCAATCCTCTTTTTCTTGGTTATAAATATATGTAAGCAAGTGTTTTGGGGAACATTCTTGAGATTATTGTGGTCATTTCTTTTTCATTATTTTGTGTGGTTCTGTTTGTGGCTATCTGTCTGAGAACTAGACTTTGGGGCACTCGTC